TATGATGTTACTTCTTTATTATCCTTAGGGCGTATCATAACGAAAAGTCTTCAGAACTGTTAATGTCTTTAATTTTTATTGTCAACCTCTCAGCAAGAGAAAGTAAGCATGGTATGAAGGCAACCTTTGTAAAATTTTTCCCTCCGTACCTTTGGAAACTACAGTATAACCTGGCATGTATTGTTGGAAAATTAAAAGAAAAATCTCTTTATTACTCTCTTCCTTGGACTTTGATAATTCTGTTTTCTCCTGGTTTTTCTCTTACTCTCTGTGTATATTTTTATATTCTCTTTTTAAAGGATATATTTTAATAAATATGGCTAAAAAACATACTCTCACTTACTATGTTATTTTTTGAATGTTGGCCAAATAAAACAAATGAGTATCTAAATATTCTCTAAGGGATTATTTCTTAAATTTGGGAAAACTGAAAGATTTTTTTCCTCCAAACAATCTGTTTTCTTAATCTAGTATGAATTCATACCCCAAATTTACATTGTTTTGTCTATTGACTTCGGAGACTATTGACTTAAAATATGGAAATGTAATCTTGACAGAACTTTGCTTCACTTTGGTTAAATTTCTGTGTTACATAGTTTTTAACTTAATTTTTTCTCCTTTTAATGGATGTGCATTATGTGTTAGGTTATGAAGACATTTTGCAAATTTGTTAAAAAATAATTACCATATGCCAAGACAAGTGACTACCCTGGCTTATCTTTGTTATTTCTGCTATCAAAACGTGATCACTGTAAAAAAAAAAAAAAAAAAGAAGAAGAAGAAGAATAAGATAAAAAAAGGTCACTATGCCATTAAGCATTTTGTATGTTATTGTAGCAAAATGTTTTTCAGCATATGTGTATACTACAGTAAAAAAAGAAAGTGATAAAATTAACAAACCATCCCTTTATCTGACCTTTTCCACTAAAGACAGCAGAATGAATGGTGTGTCTCATGCTTAATGCTGAATTCAGTTGGGACATAGCAGTTTAGCACCCTCGCTGGCATCCCTTCTGATTGGTTGGGAGTTCATTTTAACTGATTGGTTCTTGTGCTGTTCTATTTTTTAAATACTTTAAATAACTCAATATTAGCTATTTAAATTATTAGTAGAAATTTAACATTAAAATATTTAATATTTTATATAGCTGCCTACTTATGTCAACCCCATCTAACTAGTCGTCATTAGCTAGAATACTATTTTCAGGAGTTTGAAACTGTTGATTGATTAATGATGTCTGTCACAGGGAAGGGAGGAAGCAGTATTGGCTTTCATGCTTTAATACATCATGGTATTCATTATAATGGAATGCCCTTGAGTGAACTTGAAAAAGAAGTACTAATACAATTCTAACAATCTTTGTGTTCTGAACTCTTCATCAATGCTAATATACTAATTTTTTTAAGTAAGGATAATGGTAAACATGGGAGATGATTCTGATTTCACAAGTTTTTAATAAACATAAACACTTCAATTTGAAGAATATTCAAAAGCTAGATTATATAAGATAATAGTAAGTTTCTAAAGTAAAACTTGTATTTAGATGAATAGTACTTCTGATAACCCTGCATGTTGTCAGTGTGAGAACTGCTTGGGTTTACCATTACTGATTTTTTGAGTAGAAAATGACTGTTTTACTCAAAGCAGGCTTTTCAAATATTCTGTACATTCAGAATCTCTCTTAGAGAAGAACTAGGAGGATTCAGAGTGATTGATTTGGTTGAAAATGTCAAGTCTGAGTAATTTCAAAGCATACATGATTTCATAAGCATGAATAATTTTTTGCTGCCTCAGGTAGAAGAAAAACATGGTACTGGATTGTTCCTCATTGTGGAGCCCAGACATTAACAGGTGGATGGCCCTAGAGACATTTCTCTGACCTAGTTACTTTCTGTGATTATTCTGTTTATTTTGTTTAGCTAACTACAGAAAATAACAATTCTATTTATTTTTCGTGTTTTTTCTCTTCCATTGCTTCTGCTCAAGATAGGTTCTCCATCTTTGTATAGAACCCCTGATATTATAGCATGTCACTTTTTAAAGTGCTTATTTTTAGTCATTGCTAATTATTTGTAATACCATTGCAAAGTATTTATAATACCTTCTAATCACATGTTTTACCACAGATAGAAGACAATTGCATTTTATTGTTTAATGTTTGTTTCTAACATGTGCCAACTTCATTTTAAATGTTTCTATGTGGCCCACTACTCTGTTGTCGTCCCAATGCTTTTTTTTGTAACAATGTATGAAATATTTGATTTTCTGTATCATTTGTTGATGGTGTTAAGTTCTCTGTTCAAAAATTAATGTATGGAATTTAAATAAAAAATAATGTGTAGACTTTTTTGTATTTCTCTCTGATAAAGAAAAATTAAGCAAAGCAGAGCTAGTTCCATTTCATTCTGCACCTCTCATTTACTCTTTCCTGTGTGTCAGGAAGTCCTCTACGTGTCAGACAACCTGGTGCACCTAGAGTGACTAGTTGAACAGGCACCTAGGTTCCTGTTCACTTGACATTTCCCAAAGACTACTCAGATGTGGCTTAATCCTTGGTATTTGGACATAAATTAACATTAGTACCCCAACGGGCTAAGAGGACAGTTTTCTAGTGTGACAAAATCCATGCCTTAAGAAGAGGGTTGTTGTAGCAACAAGGATGATTGGAAAGAAATGAATTGACATTTTATCATATCTTGGTTTATTGATTTGTGTCTCAGGAAAATTCAATGTGCTTTCTTAGAAGTGTGATTTTCAGTTTGCTTGAAGGTAAATAGGAAAATTTTCAGAAAGGATCTGGTTCAGAAGCATCCTTTGAAGGCAATAAGTAATTTTTCTTATCACCTGTCAAACTGTCAGAACATTGAGACTTCTGTAATTATTGACTTCTAATGCATAGCCTGATAGTGCATAAGCCAAAATAAATTGACATAATGATGCCTGTATTGTGAAATGTTTTTGTGAAAAAAAGCCTTCTTACGTGTTAAGATCATTGACATGTGCTGTTTATGGACGATGAGTTGAAGACCTCTTTAATTGAAATTGCTATTGTTGATGCAAGCTGTTGCTATCTTCCAGTAACGTAAATGTCTTTTACAGGATTATTACTCTTGTAACCGCCGTATCTTTCTGGTATGTACACAAACAAAAAGTCATAGTATGGTCTATACCCACTGAGACCAGTATGATTTTCCCCCAACTTCTCCTAAATATGAAAAGTATGTTCATTAATATAACCCACTGAGTAATAGCCCTGTTTTAAGAAGCTATCAGTGAATCACAATTAGTAAATAGCTTAGAAAGTTGAAGTGGAAAATACGAATTTTCTCATTTTTACAATGTGGTTATTAATATTATGTGATCATTTATTTAATCAGGCTTTAAACTCATAGATCCATATTTATATGATAATGGTATCAGCAAACTCAAAAGTCAAATTAATATGACACTGATTTACTCACATTTTAATAGGAGCAAAAATATGAAAAGCTATTGTGACAGAAATAATTTTAACAATTAGGTTTTCTTGTCAAATACTTTCCACAGTAGCCTAATTTTAAGAGAGACATTGTATAAACTGGAATCATTTCAATTTGAGACAGACAAGCCAACAGTGTATGCTGGACACATAGGTGAGAATGGGTATATGATGGGCCCTTTATTGAAGAAATTACCCTGTAATTGAAATAGAAACTGACAGACAAATATATGTATAGAGAGATGGGTCCAGTAAGGACCTTAAGAAGGACAGAAATAGATCATTCTGGGATTCAAATTAGAGAAGGTCACATGTAACTGGGTAACAGGGAGATAAGATTCATCAAATAGGTAATATTTGAAATGGGCTTTAGTGCATTAGTAAAGTTTTTACAGACATAGATGGATGTCATGGCTATGGAAATATCTTTCCTCAAATAATTGGATTTGCTGATCTCTTGTTGGTATTCACATATTCTTCTAAAAACAGAATTCTTTCTTCAAATGAGTCTTCTCTGGAGGCTCTTTGTGTAAAACTGTTTGAAGTGTATTAGCCCTGAGATGGGTGGGAAGTTAGACGTCTGGATTCTTCATCTCCATTCTTTCACTTTTGCCAACACTAACTCCTTATCAACTCCTCTGTGTACATACGGTGCAGTTTGAAGCAATATATTTTGTATTATAATTGTATCACTGGAAAGCATAGTAGCTATTATTTTCATAATAGAAATTACAAAAAGTAAAGCTGAAAGGAATCATCTTGGCTCATAGGAAGGCGTGTGATGGAACCATCAGTGCAGTACTTTCCAAGGAGGTGGGGGGGCAACCACTTTAGAGACTTCCCATTAAAATCTACAGGAATGCATGAAATTTTTACATAAAAAGACGACTTTAAAAAATGAAAAATATTGATGTAAAATACAATGTGCCTGTAGTGGGGCAGTGGGAAATGGGACAGCAATAGTTGTTAGGGGTCATGTTCTGAAGTCTTGCATGTCAGAGTGGTACAGGTGTACAGGTTGTGTCCTGTATAACCCAGGCACTCGTCATGCACAACTGGATATGTGAACATCCAGAACAGCTGTACATCATCAACTTTGTATGTCATTGGGAAAACAATAGAGAATCTTTGAGTTCTTTCAAGTCTGAGAATGGTATGATTGTTGTTGAACCGTAAGGAAATTAATTTTGCAGTGTTCTGTAAAATGATTCAAATTCTAGAAACATGAATATAGAACATACCAAACTTGGTGGTCTACTGGAGGCAAAAACTGGTTTGTAACTTGTTTGGAAGGGAGAAGGCAAAGGAAAAATGACTAGAAACCTTTTTCTCAAGTGACTTCTCAAAGACAAATTGTTGTACCCTGGTAGAAATAGAAAGGTCATGACTGGGACAGGGTAAAAGAGAGATTAGTTTTCCTTTGAACATTTCAAATTACTATGAATGATTCTGTTACACTAAATGGATAATTTGCTATAATTCCTCTGACAAGACTTAATTTTTCTTTGTTTTCTCTTTCAGGCCGAAGTCATTGATGTGAGTTATGGAAATGCAGATGACTTAAAGAGGATTAAAGAAATGAAAAATGTAACAAATCAGATTGCACTTCTGAAATTAGGAAAATTGCCACTACTTTATAAGGTTGGT